ATCTTTAAAACTGTTATAACTGTGAGATGGCTGTCTTTGGAATGTGGAAATGATAACATTTAATTGCGTTGCCAGGTGGTGAGAGATGGTACCAGTCCTCCCTTCTTTGCCGCCACCACGCACCAAGAGGTTGATTTCACTCTCTGCAGCTGTTACCAGACAGAAACAAAAATGTCAATTTCTAGTTAGGACACCAATCTTAAAATACTGTAGAAATTTGTCAGTTACCGTCTCTGCCAGGAATCACTTTATTACAACTAGTGTGAAGACTACTAGATACAGTATTTTATGCTAGACAGCATCGGTCAGAGTTGGAGCATTGAATTTAAAACTCACTTTGGAGAAGACAGAATTCTACCCTGACAGGAATCTGGTATGGAATTACACAGCTTTTTTATTAAACTAAGTTTGAGTCCAGTGGCACCTTTAAGACCAACAAAGTTTAATTCAAGGTATAAGCTTCAGATATCTGAAGAAGTGTGCTTGCTCACGAAAGCTTATACCTTGAAGTAAACGTTGTTGCCCTTAAAGGTGCCACTGGACTCAAACTTTGTTCTGCTGTTTCAGACCAACACGGCTACCCCACCTGAATCTGTCAATGCAGATTTTTTTATTGTGGTAGGAATGTTTCTTGAGCAAACCCAGAATCTGCTCCGCTTTCAGGTGGTTTTCACTTTCATTTTAGAAATACATGAATGGTGAATGCAATGTAACTCCAGAGGGGTAGCCTGTTAGTCCGTTGAAGCAAAACAGAAGTCCAACGACACCTTAAAGACTAGCAGCATTTATTCCTGCATGAGCTTTCATGAGTCAGAGCGCACTTCTTCAAATAAAATGACATTGTGGCTCAGGCTATTCCAAATTGTGGGACATTCACCTTCCAGGCCTGTAAACCAAGAGGAGGCCTAGTTAGGGTTGCCAAGTCAAAAAAACTCACCGGCGGGGGGGCCTTGCCGGGCTCCGGGCCATAGAGTTTTCCCTCCGACGATTGGGGCCACGCCCCCAACGTGATCTACGTGGTCGCGTCACTTCCTGTGATGCAGCCACGCTGCGCTTCGGGGGGCGGGGTTCCCCCGGGGCCCGATTCCGCGGCGGCGGAAATCGGGCCTTCAAAGCAAGGGTTTACCCGCCACCCGCCCCCACTTGGCAGCCCTAGGCCTAGTGGGACCCAAATATGGTTCCTTGCATCTTCTTCAGCACACCCAGCTTCAGAACACTGTACAATGTTCTCCTTGACATTATAAATCCTATTTTGCATGTTAACAGATGTGCCAGTTGAAACCGAGATATTCTAGATTAATAGACACTGGATGCTGAGAAAAAGAAAGTTCTGGGGAGATTTCAAATGCAGCCCAAAGTGGTAGGAGGCAGTGATGAGATTCTGCATAGATGGAATGGTATGCATGATTGCTCCCTCCCAAAGGAAGTAAGGAGTAAATAAGATGTGTACATGTGCAGATCAAAATCTATCTAAAATGGCAGTGAAATGCAGTTCTGGGGATCTTATCTGGATGTGTAAAGCAGAACAGTTTTTTACCTTTAGATATGGGTCTCTGACTCAAAAACAAATCCACAAAATCCAGAATTCCAAAGCAGAGCCACTTGTCAAGCAGTTGACAAGTTAGTCCTGCGCACAGGGTTCTAGCCTAGGATTGACATTCTTGCCTCTAAGTAGTGCCACTGCAATAAATATGAGTATCAAGTAAAATGTGTTAAGGCTGCTCAATACTTTACATTTAACATAAATTAATACAAAAAACTGCCCAGACCTTGAAGAGTAATTTAGCTGATATCAACGGAACACGTACACCAAAATAGATTTGGATTTTTTTTAGAAGCCATCACTCCTCTATGAAAACACGAGGGAGGAAATGTTAAAGTCATGTGCTCCCAGAAATGTTAAAGTCATGTGCTGTTCCACAAATTATCAAGTAATCTACAGGCAGACTGGTTATGGGGAATGTAAGCAATCCACTTCAAAGTAAAGCTATGCCCAATAATTAGTAGGACTGGAGGTAATTACCTGAAGTTTTCATTTTAAATAATTTGCTTTTGAGTGCAATCTCTTGCCTAGTGTGCCCCTCCTCTTTGGGAAACTGTTTGGTAATTTCACTGGTGTAAAACCAGAGGAAATGAAAACTGTTTCACCACTGACTTCCTTCCTCCTCTCCCTGTTAAGAATTTGCATTCTACAAACACACCCCCTTTTAAGAAACAATGTTGCTCTGGAAAAAGCATTACTTCTGAAAGCTTTCATCTGTTGGCCACACAGCCCTCAGGTATGATTGCAAATGTGGGAGGGGAAATCCAGAACTTTTGGCAGCAAGTGGGAAGCATTCAGGATTTTAGGCAGCCCCTTCTCCCTACTTGCAAGCAATGCTCCCTGTCTTGTGAGCAAAATTTCTACTTTGTGAGCTACTGGCATTAAAGTTGTGAGCAGGACCGGCTCCAGGTTTTTTATGCACACTAGGCCAAGCTACATTCTGCCCCCCCCCTGCGCCCACCAATTTTCAAATGTAAATGCATTTTAGGAGAAGCTAGACGTCTTATATTTTACACACGTGTGGCCCAAAGTACCCCTAATTTCTAGAGGCACCTGATTTCTTGAAACATTTGAAAGGGAGACTTTTTCATGACTCTTTCTAGCTGCAAGCCCTCCAAAGCTTAAGCCAATTCCAGACCATTGAGAAACCTGGAACCATTTCTTAAAAAAAAAAAAAAAAAACGAAAAACAAAAAGATGCAAATGACTCCTTATTTTAACTTGGCACTCGGCTTCCCCACTATAAGTAGATATATATGATCAATGATTGCCTCTGGCCTTTCTCCCCCCCCCCCAAAAAAGTAAATAAGGTAAAATTAAATTTTCCTGCTGGAGACCGTCTCCCAGTCGATTTTAGTTAATTTCATCCTGAAATTGACTCAATAATTACAGAGCCGCCAATCTCTCAGTTCTTCCCCTTTTTCTTTCCTTTCTTCCTTTCTTTAAAAAAATCAGATCTACTTTCTATTTCCCCCAATTAAAAATGTTTTTAAAACGGCAGCATTCCCCCCCCCCTTTACCCCAGAATGAAAAAGGTGTGTGGGGGGAGGAAATATCCCATCTCTCTCTCTCTCTCTCTCTCTCCCCCTCTCTCGGGCGGCTCTGCCCATGGCTTTCTGCCATCCAATTCATTATATCTTCCCTCCTGCCCAGTGGGATGATTCTCTTCTTTTGAGGAAGAGTGTGTGTGTGTGAGGGGGGGGGAGTTCTCCTGTTTCTCCTGTTCTCGCCCCGCAAATCAGCCGTTGATTGGGAGGTAGCTGCGCTGGGGGATGGACCCTTCTCTTATTTCTTCTTCAACTTTTCCCTCTGCCTGCTTCCTGCCTTTCCTTTCTCTTCTTGTCTCCAGGTTGGAGATTTCGTTCTCCTCCCAAGGGTTAAGTCCAAAGAAATGCATGTTCTGTTTGCACTATCCTGGCACTTTTTTGGGGGGAGGGTGAAGAGCTGGCCGGAGGGAGGGGGGTATCCCGTCTCCTCCTCCCTCCCTCCTCTCTCCCAACTGGGCGACAATCTCACAATCCCCCTGCCAGCTGCAGGTTTGGCCTCGACCTAAAGGGCCAACAGGGGGTTTGGCCTCTGCGAAGAACGGTGTATCCCGCAGGGCTGCTGCCAGGTCCCTCATCACGCCGGATGGGGAACACTGGAGGGAGGGGAGGGGTGCCTGGGAGGGGGAGGGGCATCCTCGCAGCCACAAAGCCCTTGGGGCGACAGCAACAGCAATGGCCATGGGGGGGGGGACGTTGCCGCTCGGACATCACATACGAGAGGTCATTCTGGCTCCCCCAGCTCTCTGGAGGGGCTCTTTAAAAAGTTATGGCTGCCGCCGTTTTTCGGCAGCAGCTGCAATGGCCGCAAGGGGTGGGCGGGGCAAAATGTTTCCTGCATCCCTAAGCCCTGGGGTGGCGGGATTCCTAGGAGCAAATTCCACCTCTTGTGTGAGCGGCATCACACGGGAGAGGTCATCACACCAAGAGGTTGCCGCTCAGACATCACACAGGAGAGGTCATTCTGGCTCCCCCACTCTTGGGAAGGGCTCTTTAAAAAGTTATGGCCACTGCGCTGCAGCTGCAATGGCCACAGGGGTTCCCAGCATCCCTGAGCCCCGGGGTGGCAGCCATGGATTCCTAGGGGCAAATTCCACCTCTCTATAATTAATGTGGAGTGTATTATGGTCTAAAATTCCAAATTTTATAAATGTATTCAGAGCAGACATGAGACATCCTCAGTCCCGTTGAGCAGCTTGCCATGAGCAGGTTTTCAGCTTCAAGTCCCTTAGAACTCATCTTCTGGCTAAAATATTTTAGCAAAAACATTCAAAATGGGGTAAAGGAAGGGAAAAAAATGTTTCAGGCACGATGAAAAAAAGCGTCGCCCCCTCTGGCCAGAAACGAGAACGCTTCGCTGGTTGCATGATTGTCTGTGATGCAGCTGTTCGAGACACAGCAACGGGGGGTGGAGAAGGGAATCCGGGAATTCTAAATGCATGCAATGAACGCTTCAACGATGTGGCGAAGCGCAGTCGAGTGTCAGAGCATTTGTTTTAAAGGAAAGCGGTAGCAGACAGCAAACAAACAGAAGAGCGAGGAAGGTCTGCCCGCTCTGGGCTCGGAGAAAGCGCCGGAATGAAAACAAACGCTGTGCAATAGTGCGCATCCGTCTATCAGGATCAACATTGCCTTTTACTGAAGCTAAGGAAAATAAAAGCCGGATAGAAGGCAGTCTTCTGTTTGTTTTTCATCCAACCTAATAAAGATTTGTGGGAAATTCCGTTATTTGTTATTTCCGTGGGAAATTTGTGTTATTTTGGTTCGTGCTAGTATAAGGTAGTGCACGGCGTTTGTTTCTGGGCGTTCACTCTTGCCCAACAGCGGCGGCCAGAGCCGAGAACCCGGGTTCCTAGGCAGGCAGGTGGGAACGGAAGAAGGCCGGAACAAAGTGTTGTTTGCTGAGCGCGGTTGTCGGAGGAGTTGCACTGATGGCACCGCTCGCCGCTGGGGCAGGAGGAGGATGCAATGGAGCGACTGCGAGTGCTGGAGCTCTACAGCGGCATCGGGGGGATGCACCAGGCGCTGCAAGGTACACCTTCCCCCTCCGTCGCCGGGGTGCTTCTGTGCAGCAACAGCCCGGCCGCCTCGCCGCCTTCGGGAAAGGGGCGGGGACGTGTAGCTCGGGGAGACGCCGCCACTGTCATGGAGACGGAGAGTGTCTCCTGGCTGGGGCTGCTGCCTGGGTTGCAGACTCCCCCTGACGCTGCGCTTTGCCCGGTAAATCCTCAAGACAGACTTCTGTGAAGGACCTCTTCCCCGACGAGGGGACAATACATACTGGCCTTGATAGATCACTTGTTTGACTCGGTGGAAGGCAAACCACTCAGCAGCTAGTCAGCAATGACGAGGTTAATAGTAATGGCCTGCCTTACAGGCTTGTTGTAAGAGTTACAAGGTGAGCTGCTTTGGAGATTCTGAAATTATCAGGTCGTGTTGTGTGGTGGTTTGAGCACTGGATAAAGCCTGGGCAGACAAGGCTTCAAGTTTCCTATCTATGAAAGTGACTGGATGATTTCGGGCTAGTCTATTTCCAACAGCCTAATCTACTTCAGTGTAAGGATGAAGTGGAAGGAGAATCATTAATGCTGTCGCAAATTCCTGGGAGGAAGTGTATGTTATGGTAATAAAAGCTCATTGCCTGTTCTCCAGTTTATATTCACGCTACTACTAAAGCATTCGTGAACATCCTGAGCTGTTCTTTGAATGTGCGTTAAAGGGGAAAGGTTGTTTGTGAGATTTCTGCTTCTCAGACAGCTATTAAAGGCACAGGAATACTGTCAGAAAAAGGTGGTCATTTCCTTCTGGTACCTTCCAGGATTCACAGTCTAAATGTTTGAATCCCTATTTTCTTCTTAATGCAAACAACAGGTACTTCCCATTATTTCTAATTATATGTGTGGAGTACGGCTGTCAGTGGCTCCTGGCAATTTTACTCAGTTTAAAAGAGCTCCATGTTTGACATTGCCTTAATCAGAGGAGTCAGGTGTGAGTGTGTGAGACCCCTCCCCTCTTTTCCCCAGGTTTCTGCATTCCGGTTGGACTCTACAGAACAGTAGCTGTAGTCTGGTGTAGTGGTTAAGTAAAAGCTCATTGCCTGTTCTCCAGTTTATATTCACGCTACTACTAAAGCATTCGTGAACATCCTGAGCTGTTCTTTGAATGTGCATTAAAGGGGAAAGGTTGTTTGTGAGATTTCTGCTTCTCAGACAGCTATTAAAGGCACAGGAATACTGTCAGAAAAAGGTGGTCATTTCCTTCTGGTACCTTCCAGGATTCACAGTCTAAATGTTTGAATCCCTATTTTCTTCTTAATGCAAACAACAGGTACTTCCCATTATTTCTAATTATATGTGTGGAGTACGGCTGTCAGTGGCTCCTGGCAATTTTACTCAGTTTAAAAGAGCTGTGCAGTCTCCATGTTTGACATTGCCATAATCAGAGGAGTCAGGTGTGTGTGAGACCCCTCCCCTCTTTTCCCCAGGTTTCTGCATTCCGGTTGAACTCTACAGAACAGTAGCTGTAGTCTGGTGTAGTGGTTAAGTGCGCAGACTCTTATCTGGGAGATCCAGGTTTGATTCCCCACTCCTCCACTCGCAGCTGCAGGATGTCTTTGGGCAAGCCATAGTTCTGTCAGAGCTGTCCTTGAAAGAGCAGTTCTCGAGAGAGTTCTCTCAACCCCGCCTACCCCACAGGCTGTCTGTTGTGGGCAGGGGAAGGGAAAGGAGTTTGTAAGCTGCTCTGAGACTCCCAAGTGAAGGGTGGGTTATAAATCCAATCTCCTCCTCCTCCTCTTCCTCCTTCACAAAAAATACCAAACTGGAATCTTGTTGCACTTTATAAAAGCTAACACACTGTGGCATAAACTTTGTGGATTAGGGCATCTGGAGAAATGAGCTATAGTTTACGGGAGCTTATGCCAAAATCAAAATGAATGCTCTTAAGTTATCAGGTGTACCTATTCAGCAGAGCTGAATGTGCTTGTTTCAAGAAGCTTATTGTGAATGCAATTTGGCTATAATGAATTCAAAAAGCTACCAGTGGGTGTGGGGGAGGACACTTTTGCTTTAACACGTGATTGCCAAAAAAAATAGATTTTGCAAGCATACCTGATCTGCTTACTTATTTTGGTTGATGGCAGTGAAAGAAATTGAGTTTTAAAAAAAGACTGAACCAGTGAATGTTCTATTCCCTACCTAAGCCTACAGATTTTACCCTAATACAATGTAAGATTAGTATTTTGTGCTGCTATATCTACTTCTACTTTTACAACTGTTGTCACATCTGTTAATCTTACCTTATAATTAATGAGATTATTCCTACCTTACCTAAAAATCCTTGCAACTGAAACCACAGTCTGCAAGCACATGCATACCTACACGAGAGTAACTTCCATAGTACACAGTGGGGTTTACTTTTGAATTAAAATGAACATAATTGGGTTGTGTGTGCCGGTAGCTTCCCATGATCAAGGGATGATAGGTTGTATCTGTTAGCCAAAAAGGTGTGGGTGGGTTGGTGATGTTTTGCTAACAGGCCATAAATACTTATAATTTATTTATTTTATTTCATCAAACATCTGTACTGCCCTCCCTGTGAGAGTACTTTGCTGTAATAATATGCAACCTATTGTATCATTTATTGTTAGACCTCAAAAGTCTGTGTTCCCCCCCCCATTAAAAACTTTAAGCTTTAATTCACTTTGTTTGATAGTGAGGTCATGCAGTCTAAGAGACCAAGTGTGCATTCTAATATGTTTATATTCAAACTTAATTTTACATAAAATGAGATTTTAAAAAAGTGTTGGTATAACTAAAGTTATACTTGTTTTACACTGACAAGCAATCAAGTACTTTTTGTAATTTTGCCTAAGTTTTACCTTCCCTAAAAGGCTGAAAGAAGACAAAACTGACAGTATATTTATAAACAAAGCTGGCAATGGAAGGTGGTGTCAAGTTGCAGCTCAACACTTACGGTGCCCCCCCCCCCCACACTTACGGTGCCCACCCCCCCGCAGGGTTTTCAAGGCAAGAGGGAGACATGGTTTGCCAGGGCCTGTCCCTGCGCAGCAACTCTGGGGTTCCCTGGTGGTCTCCCATCCAAGTCTAGCCATGGCTAGCCAGGCTTAAGCTTCCAAGATCTGATGAGATCAGGCTAGCCTGGGGCTTCCAGGTCCTGGCAAAGAGAGTTAGACCCTTCTGTATCCATCGAAGTCAGTGGGTTTGGAAGGGTGGGACTGTGCTTAGGAATGGATTGCACTGTTAAGCGGCTTTCCACTTTTCATGTCTTCATGTATACAGCAAAAGTATTCAAAGGCCTAATAGAAATATTTCCAATGTGGGGACAGTAGTTCCTAACCCATTGTATTCTGCCCACATGAAAGAGTTACCTGCATCTTTGGCCGGTGGGTCTCCTTTCTGTTGTTTGTTTTAACGTAGCAGGACTTATGAATTGTCACCAGCTAGATGATATTCCTGTTTTAACTGTTTTAGCCGCTATTCTTTAGCCTTTTAGCCTGCTGCGGTGGGGAGGGCGGGACAGAAATCCAATAAAATGAATTAAAAAATAAATAAGTGATCTGTTTAAATTGTATGGACATTGTTCTATTGCTGTTACCTACCCTGAGCCCACTTGTGGGAAGGGCGAGATATAAGTTAATTCACTTTGGTTGATAGTGAGGACATGCAGTCTAAGAGACCAAGTGGGCATTCTAATATGTTTATATTCATATTTAATTTTACATAAAATGAGATTTTAAAAAAGTGTTAGTATAACTAAAGTTATACTTGTTTTACACTGACAAGCAATCAAGTACTTTTTGTAATTTTGCCTAAGTTTTACCTTCCCTAAAAGGCTGAAAGAAGACAAAACTGACAGTATAATTATAAACAGAGTTGGTGATGGAAAGTGGTGTCAAGTTGCAGCTCGACACTTACGGTGCCCCCCCCCCGCAGGGTTTTCAAGGCAAGAGGGAGACATGGTTTGCCAGGGCCTGTCCCTGCGCAGCAACTCTGGGGTTCCCTGGTGGTCTCCCATCCAAGTCTAGCCATGGCTAGCCAGGCTTAAGCTTCCAAGATCTGATGAGATCAGGCTAGCCTGGGGCATCCAGGTCCTGGCAAAGAGAGTTAGACCCTTCTGTATCCATTGAAATCAGTGGGTTTGGAAGGGTGGGACTGCGCTTAGGAATGGATTGCACTGTAAGTGGCTTTCCACTTTTTGTGTCTTCATGTATACAGCAAAAGTATTCAAAGGCCTAATAGAAATATTTCCAATGTGGGGACAGTAGTTCCTAACCCATTGTATTCTGCCCACATGAAAGAGTTAACTGCATCTTTGGCCGGTGGGTCTCCTTTCTGTTGTTTGTTTTAACGTAGCAGGACTTATGAATTGTCACCAGCTAGATGATATTCCTGTTTTAACTGTTTTAGCCGCTATTCTTTAGCCTTTTAGCCTGCTGCGGCGGGGAGGGCGGGACAGAAATCCAATAAAATGAATAAAAAAATAAATAAGTGATTTGTTTAAATTGTATGGACATTGTTCTATTGCTGTTACCTACCCTGAGCCCACTTGTGGGAAGGGCGAGATATAAGTTGAACTAACTAACTAACTATATAACCGGAATATTTTGAAGTAAGTGAAAAATCTGTCAGTTACCTCTTGTCCTATGGAAACCATAAAATGTAAGCAATAGGAAGGTGGAAGGTTGTTCCGAATAAGTGAAAATTTGCTTCCTGTGAACATTAATAATATCCTAATGGCTATAGTGGACTATGGAATTCAGTGGAAATTACTTTCATGGGATTGTGGTCTTCTTAATCATATATATCTAATATGCTGAACAAGTAACTCTCTCAAGGTACTGATTCCTAAAGGGAGCATAAGTTTGATTATCAGTTCTTTGCCTTTGCGTCTGAATTTCTACAGCATCTGAACTATTATGGGTGTCCCAGAATATGGGGATAAAATAGTGTTCATTTCTAAAACTTGGATGAAGAACAGTTGCTGAACAACTGCTGCTGTTTTTGGGAAAGC